AACAGGTGGTGGCTGGAGTATGTTAGGTTGTTCATTTTAGAAATAAAAATAAAAAATCAGAATATTTTTAAGAGGCATGAAATTTATAAATGTTGATGCTCAAAGAGACGGGTATTCTCATATACAACATGCAAAAAGCATATGGATGTGACAATCAAATAGGAGGACAAATGACATGCTGGCCTTCATTGCAAGGATAATGGAATATAAGCAGAAGAATTTTACTACAATTCTTTAGCACTTTGGTCAGACTGAAATAACTTCACAGAGACTGGTATCCCATCACCAAGTCACTTCTTATTTGAAAGTTCCAAGGCCTTGACACTGATCCATCTCCCTCAGAACCAAATCTCAGAGTGAATAGGATCTGACACTCCTGTTTTTATCTATCAGCCAGGACTCTCTGATTGGACTAGATTAATAGCCCCAAAAAGCAAACTCATATTCTATGAGGTCCACCTGACTGACATTATTACAATACTACATCCCTCTGCCTCTGAGTCTGAGGACATAAGCTGATCCTTTTGTTTTGTAGCTCCTCCTGGGGCGTTTTAGCACTGCGTCAGGTTCCTCCAACTCGTCCTCTGATACGGGCAGTGCATAACGCACACCAGCTCCCCTCTTGAACCCGGAGCATCTTGGGAGAAATTCATTCTCTTCTTCAGATGGCAAAGGTGCCAAGGCGGCGACATCTGACTTGTACATCTCAGATCCTGAGGTATCTTCAATACTTGATGGAGAAAGAGAACGAACGTGTTCTGGTACAGTCGGAGAAGCTATCCAGGAGCCGGGCACATTGTGCTTCTGCAACATTTGTGAGCTTGCAGTTTTCATTTACTCTATGTTCTTGTTCAGGACCAACGCTTTATACGTCACTGGACCTTATGATGCATTGACTATGCCTCTTATCCAAGCAGGGCCATTCCTGTAGTTCCTACACCAAACTTCACCCCCTGAAGTAATCTGTCACTCTAGTGGAGTTTTGTATCTGGCATTGGCATTCCTGATGCCATTTTGCCCTCCCCCCCCAGGTCTGGGAAGATCAGATTTAACCTGGTGGGGTCTTCTCTCTGCCTTCAAAGTTTGAACTGCACTTTTCTCAGACCATTGGATGATGGATGGTATGGAGCTATCTTTATATTTCAAATAACATTCAACTTTAGGATATACTCAAATTCCCTGCTGGTAAACAATGGTCCGTCATCTGTGACCAACACTTCCAGGAGTCTGTGTGTCGCAAGAGACGTGTGCAGTTTTTCTATCATTACCCCCATGTTTGATGAAGGAACTCTATGCACATCCAGCCACTTTTGCGTGGGCATCCACAATGACTAAGAACATTGAGCCCATGAAAGGGCCTTCACTGTCAACATGTAACTGAGTTCAGGGTTTACACAGCCATTCCCACAAATGTGGGGGAGATGCTGGCGGTTATTTTTGTCCTTGTTGGCACGCTGAGCACTGCCCCACCAATGCAGTTATGTCTGCATCTAATCCTCTCCACTAGACATAACTTCTCACTAACAACTTCATATGGGAAACCCAGCATGTCCCTGGTGGAGTTCAGCCAGTATCTGGCGGCCACCTTTGCTCAGAACAATCACACTTGCTCCCTATGATAATATGTCATCTTCTACCGTGATCTGGTCTCTCCGAGTCCAAAAAGGTTTCAATTCTGGTTGTGACGGCCCTTTTGGTTTACCCCCTCACCACCAGCTGTTTCGGTTTTGCCAGGACTGTATTGTTCTGCATCCTAAATCTGATATTGTCAACTGTGACTGGAAGTGTATCCAGAAAATGTCTGTAAAGGTATTGGTGGAAATTCCTCACTCCAAACATGACTACCAAACCTTCTTCTCTGTCTGGGTGTATTTACACTCTGCATTAGCCAAAGTCCTGGATGCATATGCTATTGAGCATTCCTCTCCATTGGGCTACGTATGAGTTAATACTACCCCAATGTCGTATGGGGAGGCATCACATGTCACGCAGATCTCGTGTGGGATCATAGTGTGCCAACAATTTTGAGGATGATAGCTGTTTCTTCACTTCCTTGAAGGTTATGGCTTGGCTACGCAGCCATTTCCAAGGCTGACATGTTTTAAGAGTTGATATAGATGTGCCAAGATGGAGGTCAGGTTACGTATGAACTTCCAATTCACCAGCCCAAGGAAACACTTAAGCTCCATTACAGACGTGGGAGCCAGATAAAGTGCCCTCACTTTATCTTCCTGGTCTTTTCGACTTTGTAGTCTAAGTAGGTCACTTGCGGTGCCTGGAGCATACATTTTTCCCTTCTAAGACATACGACTGCCTGAGAGAAATATCTAAGGACTATGTCCAAGTTCTTTAAGTGTTCCTTATTGGTCTTCCCTGTTATTAGCATGTCATCTAAATAAATAAAGATCAAGGGTAGACCTCGTAAAATGTTCTCCATCATCCACTGAAAAATTGCACAGGCCGACAATACCCCAAATGGCAGTCTCGTATATTGGTACAAACCCTTATGGGTATTGTAATGTACTTCTGGGAATCTTCATCTAACCACAATTGAAAGTACACATGGCTCAATTTCAGCTTTGTGAAGGACAGTCCCCCTGCCAGCTTTGTGTGCAATTCCTCTATGCAAGGGATTGGGTATTTATCCAGCTGCATAAAGCGCTTTACCATTTGTTTAGAATCCCCACAAAGGTGAACTGACTCATTGGGCTCCATAATCAGTACGATTGGTGCAGCCCATTCTAAAAACTGGAATGTTTTGATGATTCCCAGACTTCTGATTTCTGCCTCAGCTTTTGCCTAAAAGGCAAATGGCACTGGATGGGCCTTGCAGAATCATGGAATTGCTTCCTGGTCAACGTGTAAGGTGGCCTTGTTTCCTTTGATCGTTCCCCAGACCTTCCTAAAATACTTCCGGGTATTTAATTAGGACTTCACTCAGGTAGCCATTTTCTAATCAAAAAAAAATTGTTGAGCCCATTTAGGTGATACTTTATGAACTATTTTTACCCCAAGAAATTTGGGCCTGAGTCTTTACTACAATCAGTGGTAACTAAACAAGCTGTTTCTTATAAGAAACCGGAACCGAGATTGTACCCTAATCTGTAAAAGTTCCTTTATATAGCTTCTCAGTCTATCTGAGGTCTTGCCCAATCTTAAGGGTTAGAGTCCATAGCGAATTTTGTTAAAGACTCATTGTGCGATCACTGAAACGCCACATCGGTATTGAACTCCGTTAGAACTGAGTGACTATTTAACGAGACATTTATTTTCATTGGGTCTAATTCAGATTTTGCTAAGCAATTTAACTGTTCCAAACCAGATGGAGATGGACTTTCCAGGGTCTTCTGGATACTGACCTATGAGTTCTTTTACTCAGTTTGGGTCTGGTGGGGCTCTTTTGCTGTCTCGAGTCTGCTTACCAGCAGCAACTGCAATGGCTTGCCAGCTTGAATCCTGAAGAAAATGTTAACTGTTTGGTCAAGGCTTGGTTTGTTTTGGGGTTCTACTGTGGGCTGACCTACAATTCTTCTGTTCAAGATATGTCCTGAGCGAAGCTATGCAATTACCTTCACTCAAGTCGTGTTCCCTAAAATCAGTTGGATTAGTGAGGTATCCACTTCCATTGGAATACCCTGAAACTCATGTGCTCCACTTGCCACATTTTCCAATGATAAAGCCAGGTGTAGTGCCTTTTTGAAGTCTAGTTGGGCTTCAGCTAGTGGGTGCTTTTGCATGGCTACATCAATCCCACATACCAAATGGTCTCTCAGCATCTCATTAAGGGTTAAACCAAAATCACATGCATCTGCCAGCCGTCTTAACCGAGTCAAAAATCCCAATATGGATTCCCTTGGTTCTTGAATTGCTGAGTAAAACCAATACTGTCTCAGAATTAGAGAAGGCATGGTGTCATAATATTCCTCAACCAAATCCATCAACTCCTAAAAGTTTTTAATAACTGGTGCCTCAGGGAAAGTTAGGACCCTAATAACCAAAAAAGCTGTGGATCCACAAGCTATCAGGAGAATTACATGTTGCTTTTCATCTGCCTCAATGTCATTTACCCAGGAAAATAACGCATTCCTTCCACATACTGGATCCAGTCTTCGATGACAGTATTGAATGAGTCAATCTTCCCAAATAACGGTATAATGCTTGAAATGTTTACCCCAACTCAAAGATGACTGTTACAAGCCAGTTTCTTCAGGAGAGTGCTTTTCTCTAATCTCCACTGGAACAACTCCACAGAGGAGGGTATCCTGTCACGAAGTCACCCTTTGTTTACATGTGGAGAGTCCTTGACACTGATCCAGCTCCCTCAGAGCCAGCTTTCAGAGTGAACAGGATGTTTGACACTTCTGTTCTTATCTGTCAGCCAGGGCTCCCTGATTGGACCAGATGAACAGCCCCAGTCAGGGAACTCATATTCTATGAAGTCCACCTGCCTGACCTCATTACAATTACTACAAGATCACACCTGGAGTTGTATGCACACTTTTGGTGTCCATATTTAAGGCAGGATAAATTTACGTTGAAGGTGTTATAGCAAAGCTTCACTTGATTGGTTCCTAAGAGGAAAAGGATTGCTTTTATGATGAATATGTAAGTAAATGCAGTCTATATACTCTGGAATTTAGAAGAATGAGACATGATCTCATTGATGCATCCAATAGTCTAATTGGACATGACAAGGTAGACACCAAATGGTGTTTTCCTGTAGCTATGAAACCTAGACCAAAAGATATAGTCTCAGAATAAGCAGCAAATTATTTAGCACTCAGACAAGTAGAATGGTCTTCATTCAGAGAATTTGGAATGTTTGGAATTTTCTATCCAAACCGTTATGGAGTCTTCATCATTGAAGATATTAAAGTCTGAGATTGACAAATTTTGGTCTTGTGGTGAATCAAAAGTGAAGTTCAAGCTGAAGATCAACCATAGTTGGACTGAACAATAGAACAAGCTAAAATGAAAAATGATTCACTCCTGCTGCCATATCGCTTATTCTTATAATTTAATTTAAGACACAGATAAAAGCATGCATTAGGATACAACATACCTCTAAAGTGAATTAACTGAAAACTTACAGTTTAAGTCCATCATCAGTAAAATTAATTTGGACTGCTTCAGTAACTCATCTGCCAATTTTCCAGAAAGTAGGTATCCATCACGCAGCAAACTCTTTTCTTTCATTTGTAATTCTTTAATTACAGAACAGGAGTGAAAACTAGAATTAAAAAGCCAAAACATTTTTGTTTCTTCATGCAACTGATTACCCGGAGACACCTTCTGCTTTCAAAAACTGTCTCTTATTTGAAAATAACATCTGCCAAAATGATTTTGATGCCAAATATTATGACACAAAACACACTGGTTAAATAAACAAGCATTATATGTGTCACCATGTTAACAAAATAATACAAGTATGGTGTAATTATATCATTGTTTTTTCAAGGAGAACCTTACTGCAGTGCTGTTAGAGATGATTTCATGAATTCTACATTTCCAGTTTTGAATTACACTCAAATGGATCACAGGCTGCAGGATTAGTCTTACAGCATTGAACTGGGAGTTTACCTGTTTACTGCCTTAGCCTGGAGTTTTATTGTGTGATTCAACCTGAAGTTAATCTGCTTATTGTGCAGGAAAAGAATGAATGATGTCCTCTGCACTGCAATTCTGACAGACTGAAAAAATGTGTATTAAAAATTGGCTGTGACAAGAGGGTCAGTCAAGTATAGTGTGTTTGGATAGGCATTGGTGTGATAGCCTCCTGGCCTGACGTAGTGGCCTCCCAGCCTCGTATGGTGGCCCAGCTTGGTGTGGCAGTCTAATAGTGTAGCAATGCGGCCTCCCAGTCTGGTGTGGCAACCCTACAGTCCTGGTGCAACAGCCTTCTGGAATGGCATGGCAGACCTTTGGCCGTGGTGACGGACTCTCCACCCAGCATGGCAGCCTCTTGGCCTGGCGTGGCGATCTCTCAGTGGCCCAGCATGGCAGTTTCTTGGCCCTGCATGGTGGTCTTTCAGCTGTACATTGTGGTCTCTCAGCCCAGCACGGCCCCAGGATGGACTTCTGGACTCAAGGTGATTCATTAAAGTGTGGTCCCATCGTGGTTAAGCACTTTAGAAAGATTACAATATTTAAACTTTTAGCTTTATTTCTTTATTTTCTAATTAAAACTAAGAAGCTGTCACTGTACTATAATTACTACAATGTTTAACTTTTAACTTTGCTCTTTCATTCAACCTTGTTCTTAAAATTCTGTACCAAGGTACTTATACCCAAGATGGTGCCTTGTGTGACCACATGATACACTTTTCACCGTACCCCTGTACTTTAGTACTTGAGTATACATGACAATAAAATCAAAATCAATCAAATCAATTTACATATACACTGCATCCACTCACCAGATCTCGAGTTACATAAGATGTATGTGTGCATCACAGGAAGTTGTTTCTTTCTCTCTGCATTATCCACATTTCTTTAGTCTGAATCTTAGAAGGACAAATGAACGTTGTTACATCACATAGGACCAAGGATCAGGCTAGTGGTGAGCTTTCCTCAGCTTCACTAGTGCTCCCTTTATGTCTACAGAACCAGAAAGTACAATTGAGGAGGGAGAGGGTATAGTCTAGAACTGCAGTGCCAGACATCAAGCAGACACTGAGTTGGAAGCACCAGAACTGGCAATGGGAACAGGTGAGATGCTGCATCTTAAATACTAAGTTAGAATGGCAGATGTGGAGTGAGGAAGATTTGTACTCAGCCGTCATCTCTGGCTACAATGGCAGTCTGCTACACATTTGGACAGGAGAGTACTATTCAATCACTCAATTACCAAATAATTGGTCCTTCTGCTTCCTTTGTGGGTTTGACTGTTGCAGAGACTTGAAAACAAAAGAAAAAGGTGCATCACCTTAGAACTACTCCAAGGATGACAGTGTAGACTTCCCCGAAGATGCAATGTCACATCTAATCCCTGTACCCAGCACCAATATAGATACAATCACCTTGGTGGGGAGTTGGTCATGCACTGACCCTAAGTCACAATCTGATAAGCATCTGACAGCGAGGCAGATGCCATTCAGGGAGGCAGTAACATACAAGTTCACTGAAAGAGCGTTTTAGAGAGCAACTCCTTAATGTGCCAACGGTTGACGCAGAGCTACACTCAAGCAGCTGGAGTTGCAGAAACAAACAGTTTAGCGGAGCTATCTGGAGGTATTAGGCAAGCATGAAAAGTTGACAGAGGGGGCCATCAAAGCCATGATTCAGGTGGGCTAGTGCAGTATTTCTTTCTTGAAGAGGGCATTCCAATATGGAGAAACGGGAAGTGACTAGGGTTTTCCCGCAATGATAACGAGAACTTTTCGTATTGTGAGAGTTTAATGATTCGAGAGAGCAAACATTGCAGGGCATTATATTGCTTTTGGTTTAGTGGAAACAAGAAGTAATTTTTACTTAGGAAACATCCATAGATTGGAAAATGTTTACTTCAGTACACAGAAGAGCTGGCTGAGGTCAGATGTAATAACTACTTTTCCTGGAGAAAGCAGTTGGTTCATTAACAGTTGGGAAATAGGTTACCTCAGTGTAAGTGTCTTAGTTTAGAAATTTCAGATCAGAAATGTTAGTTCTGAAGCTAAGAAAGTTTAAGTCTGAATAATCAAGGAAGTGGCTATCAAGCCCTCAAGACTAGGAATTGAAAGCAGCACTTAAGTTTCACCTATAAATGTGATGTAAAAAAAGGCAACTCTCGCTTTGACGTTTGAGTACTACAAAGAGATATGATAGATAGAATCTTGTTTTGACATGTGTTTCAAAATCTTTCAAATTGTGTAATATGTAAATAGCTTGATTTGTTCTGTTTTATCTTCATTTGTTTGATAATAAACTTATGCTTTATTGTTAAGCACACAATGCTGCAGATTTGATTTTATGTCTCAGGGAAAGACCACCACATTAAATTTAAAGAAAAAGCAAAATATGGTCTATCAAACCAGATTTCAGTCTGGGACCTGACTTACCCAGGACCAATATCAGCTGGAATCATAACAATATTTTGCATTGGTTTGATTGTGTTTCTCAGCCCTTTCTGTTTCATTCATTGAGGGCATCATAATTTAAACAGTGCGAGACAAAATATGATTGCCTAAATGAGTGCAATCATTACATGACCATAAGGAGATGGAGTATCTGGGCTTTATACATGTTGGAAAATTAACACCAATGGTCAAATGAGATAAACCTTTGCCTGGTTAGCCTTCATTGTATAACCATGCACTAAAAACAAGAGAAGATATATTTGACTTTCACCTCCCATGGATTGACTTCACCCCTCCTCGAAATTATGTGGATTCTGATATCCCTCTGCCATAACTATCTCCTCTTTCACAACATCATCATTAGATTAATCACTGTATCTAGGAAATAGAAACACATCTTCAACAAGTGAAAATGACATTCAGTGCATATCATTGGCATGCTGTATAAATTCAATGCTGCTTTAATTACACATCTATTCCTGGTGGCTTTTCCATGCCTGGTTGTTGCTCTGTAAACACCAAGCTTTAATTTAATTAAACAGCTAAGGAGACCTCAGGCCAACATCAAACAACCTGCACTGAAAACTATGTATATTCTGACAGCTGTGACAAATTCCACTGCAACTTTTGAGACCATCCACAATATTATAAATAAAACAACACACTAAAACTCCATCTGTCATTGCCAGCAGAATCTTTAAAGAAATTGTAGGGTCCAGATCCACATCTTTTCTTGGGTCAGTGCTGATTCTGTATCTCTTGTGATACCATCACAAATCTATACACTGTCATGCAGGCTAATGTTTGCTTGAGGGGCTACAGTAGTCATTTCATGCCAGTAGCATCAAAAGTTACAGCTGCACTGAACTTTCATGCCACAGATTTCTTGCTTCAGGAAACAGGAAACTGCTGAATAAATATCACTTGATAGCATTGTTAGTGATACCTGCCAATACGGTTAGTGTTGATTTGCCTGAAACTTGTCAATTAATTATTTTCTCACAATGCTGCTCAATTGCACACCATATTGGTCATATACCCTGCATCAATGTCAATGGTTTATTCAGTAGTCGTATTCATTCAACAGAACTTTCTTGTGTAAAATGAGGTCAGATTATTCCTTTCCTCTGGGTAAGACTAGAAAAACCACAGGAACACCTGCTTTTCTTAAATCAAGACATTGTGAAGGCATTCGGTAAATTTTATTTACATTCCTGAGGTCTGTCTGGGATGAGGTTTTATTTTGAAACCTGTGATTTATTTGCAAATTGTGTAGTCTATGGGGAAAATGAATAATCTTTTCAGAGTCAAAAACAGCAGCATGCAAATCTTCAGACGTATGCATGGATTAAATATAATGTCTGCTTGATGATAATTGCTTTAAAAAGGACTTTTATTGTTTTGAGAATAAATAATAAATCAGAATTTATTCAAGTTCTTGAAGTTTTGCCTTTCTCTAAATTGGAAATGTTGTATCACTGATGCTTTCTTCTCAACACTGTTTTTATTCCTGTTTTCCTGCTTCAAGATGTAATAGTAGAAAAGCTTAACTACAATCTGTTGAAAAATATTGATTTGTGTAGAAAAACAAAGACATTAAGATTTCAAGAGGCATTGACATAGGATAGCTCAATAGCTAACATTATACTTTTAAGCTTAGAAATTTAAAATATGAAATTAAAAGCTAGTCTTAACTAGATCCATGCAAAGGAATATTTTTTGACAGTTTCAGCAACACAGGTGAACAAGTGACAAAGGACATCATTCTACTGAATATTAATGCAGCCATCAGGTTGTTTAACAAGTGGAGTCTGTAATGTGAATCGTGAAAATAGTTTTCCTAACTTAAAAGATGCAGTTTAAAGAACTGACTTGAGAGAATGTGATTTTAAAGAGTGGAGAATTATAAGAAAACAATGGTCAACAAAATCAAGGGACATAATTGCTTCTTTGTTGTTCTTTGAGAGGCATTGAACATAAATTAAAACAAGTCTTAATTAATTTACATTCAGTAAATGACTAACAGGAGTCTTGCTCTTCTGCTTAGGTTAGTTTCTCTACTTCAATAAAATAGTTTAGTCTCATCATTGTTTAATGGTAGTTAATAATTTAAAGTATTTACTTGACAAGTACAACTTCACAAAGTTAACTTGAAGTCGATACTACAGATACTACAGGGTGGCACAGTGGTTAGCGCTGCTGCTTCACAGCTCCAGGAACCTGGGTTTGATTCCACCCTCGGGCAACTGTCTGCGTGGAGTTTGCATGTTCTCCCTGCTTCTGTATGGGTTTCCTCCAGGTGCTCCAGTTTCCTCCCATAGTCCAAAGATGTGCAGGTTAAGTGGATTGGCCATGCTAAATTGCCCATAGTGTTCAGGGATGTGTAGATTAGGGGGATGGTTCTGGGTGGGATGCTCTGAGGGCCAATGTGGACTTGCTGGGCCAAAGGGCCTGTTTCCAAGCTGTAGAGATTCAATTTGATTTAATATATAAGTGGTGCAAGATTAATCATTCAAATGTCTCAGGTCCAGAGGTTTGGCTAAGTCTGAGGCACTAGGCTTCAATTTAAGAGTCAGAATTTAGGCAGGGCCAATGGTCTTTATTGTATCCCTTGATATTGTGATGAAAGGTGTGTCGTTTATGTATCATTTTTACAGTTTGGATTTAAAAACAGTGGTTCCTGAGTGTTAGCCTCATTTGTGAAGGGTTCTTTCTTAACTAAAACAAAAGGATTAGATAGTCCTTCAGGAACACCAATCTAATTCAGTCTCCTTCAGAGAGATGACTACGAACCCCTGGAATATTAATAGCAAATTGCATATATTGGGGTTAGGTGGAATAAACATTTAAGGCTTGCGTTCAGTTTAGAATAATCAAAAATTGATTTTTGGTTCAGAAAACCCAATAGTTGATTATTTTTGGGGCAGTTAGGAGGAGACCTGTCTGGGGTCATAAGCAACTATAGTTTCTCTCAAAGAAAAGAGTTTTTCAGAGAAGTTAAGGCAATGCAGCAGAAAAATTTGCTTTGTGCAACTTCCACGAGTGTTAGGTTAGAAATTGGCAGTTATTAGAAGCTGATAAAATTTAAGTTCTCAGTTTTGTGAGTATTCATATAAAAATACTCTACAGTTAACCAATTCTCCCTGGTTTCTGTCCTGTTATGTTGAACTTCAAGTTTTGAAATAGGTATTTTTTTCCAGATTTGAATTACTGTAAAAGTGATGTTTATGGAAGATAGGTTGAAATTTGTTTTGTGAATGTTTTAAGATTTTTCTAACTGTATTCTATATATCCAGAGAGTTTGTTGGCCAATTTGATTTTTGTCCTCTGTGTAATGAATTTCTGCTCTTTCATTAAAGAACTCTAAGCCAGAGGAACAACTTCTCTGTATTTAGTCTGCGAAGTTCCTTCATTTTGCTTTAATGTTCCAATTAGATCACTAATGCCTG